ACTGCACAGCTACCGTGTGTCAAGCACTCAGCAGAGCACTTCATTTGTTTATCTCATCTAATGCTCATAACATGCCTTGGGTATTATCGTCTCCATCTTACAGATGAGAAAAGATTAAACCACTTGCTCAAGGTCGCCTAGTAAGTAGTGAAGCTAGGATTTGAACTGGCAGAGAGGAGGTTAAGAGGCTCCCAGGCTGTAAAAACAGCAGGAACAAATGTCCAGTGGTTTTCAAATAGAATATGTGTTCAGGTATAGCTGAAGCAGAGTCACATGCAAGGGATGGGAAAGGAACGGCAAGGCAGGCAGGTGCTAGACTGTGCAGGACTTGAAGGTCAGCACAAGGACTATGGTCAGTTTAACAAGGCCGTGGCGAGCCACTGCAGGGTGTGTTTGATGAGCAGATCTGCCCGTCAGGAAGACTAATTGGACAGCCATGTGAAGGACGGATGAGAGCTGAGGGAGGGACAGACGTAGAGATTATGCACCGATCCAGAACGTCGAGGCCCTGAACCAAGACATTAGTAGCCGTAGCAGAAGAGGGTGCAGATGCAGAAGGCCTCCAGACTTTTTTCTCAGCACCCCAACCCAGTTTTAATTCACCAGTTCCTTGTGTAGTTTTTTGTCCAGTGTCTACCTCCCCAGCTCACTGAATGCTGTGAGAGCAAACATGACTCCCATTTTCCCTACCACAGCCCAGCCTCCAGAACAGCACCTGGCAGAGTAGATGCTCAGAGACTCATTCAGATGAGTGAGTGAGTGAGTGAATAAAGAAATCACTGACTCCAGAGTTTTCAGCTGAGGCAACTGGAACAAGGCACACTAGAAGAAAAAATGATTGGGTGAGGGAAACAAGGGTGAGATTGATCTTTGGACAGATTGAATCTGAGATTATCCTTGTGACAATATCCAGCAGAGATTTAAATGTGCAAGTGGTGGAGAGAGTGTCTATAAATAAAGAAGGGCATAAATCAATAGGGTTAGGTGATATTCCCGAGGGAAACAGTGGGGGAAGGAGGCACAGCAGGAGAAGGAAGAGGGAGAGAGATAACTTGGGGAACATCTACATTTTAAAGGAAAGAGAGAGAAGACTTGTCTGAGGAGGCTGAAGACCAAAGGAGTGCTCTGTCATAGAATTCAGGAGATCCAAGAAGAGGGCTGAAAAATAGAGGGATGGGGAAAGAATAGAGGTCATCATCAACATCTGACGCTATAGAGGGATGGGAAAACGCTCCAGGATCTGGCATCTGGGAGGCCTCTGGTGGCTCTGATGGGGGCAATTTTGGTGGCAGTGTAGAGGCAGTGGATCTCTGATCTCACAGAGTCACACGCAGGGCTGACCCGGAGGTGAAGGAGTGGAGAAACCAAGTGGAGACCCCTTCATCACAAAGGTAGAGGGCAGAGAGGAAGGGAAAAGTGGTTCAGAGCAGGAGCTGGAGAAGGAAGGGGATAAAGAGACCCACAGAGAAGAGACTGAGGATGTGAGGAAGAGGCAACATGAAAGCCTAAGGAGAGAAGATCTGCGGCTCAGGCAGATAGATTAACTTCAGGAGGAAGGAGGGGGACCTCATCTTCAGAACTAGGAAGGAAGGTTGCAGGAGCTCATACCACCTAGCATCAATCATTTTGATAACAGTCACCATTTACCAAGCCCCCCCACATGTGCCAAAGGCATTGTATACACTATTTCTAACCTTTCAAAGGGGTATTGTAATCCTCATTGCATGAGGGAGGGAGGTTAAGACAATTACTCACCATCACAGAGCTAAAAAGTAATAGATTCAGGATCAGAGTCAGGTATGCCTGACCCAGAGCCCACAAGCCTTCCAATACACCATATGAAGTGGGAGGAAAGTCATCTGTAAAAGGGGATAGGGGAGGAGGACATTAGGCGTTGAGAAATTGGTTAAGGAAGCCTCAACAAGATGGACAAAAAATTACTTGAGAGCTGAGAGAGCCATGCTGGGAGTGGGCAGCAGGACTCTGGGGTGGACCAAGAAGCTACTAAATCCCAGCAGGCTACAAGGGGGGCACCTCGAGCGACAGGAATGTAAGTATCCAGAAGACTCAGCCCTCACTGAGTAGATGTACTTTGCATATTGCGGGGTGGGGAGGGGTGGTAATCAAGGTTCCTTGAATGGATGCTTAGAAGCAGAAGAGTCCAAAGAAGGAGATGGTGTGGTGATAGAGAGATGGCATGTTGACTTTGAATGGTGCCATGGGATATCCAGAGGGAGGTGTTCAAGAGGCAGGCAAGTGTACTTCTTGATTCATTTATCGCCTATTTCCCTACACACACACACTCGCTCACTCAGTTCACACACTCCGAAATGTAATCTGCATAGGGGCAGGACTTTGTCTGTCTTGTTCACTCTTAAAACCGCAGTACCTAACACACTGCCTAGGACGTAGTAGATGCTTAACTGAAACTTGTTGGATAAATGAATATAGGGGTCTGAGAGCCCATAGATGTCTAGGTATCATTAATGATGAGTTCTCCTAGGGAAACTTTAGAGAGGAAAACGAGGCACGGGCTAAAGTCAAGGTCCTAGGAAAACACTTACTGAAAAAAGGAAAGGAACAACAGGAGGCAGCAAAACTGGGGTGGGGAGGGAAGAGGGAGCAGTAGGAGAGGAGGGAGTATGGTAGGAGATGGAGGAGAGGAAAGAACTAAGTCACAGAACCAAGACAGAAGAAGGATTTGAGGACACAGTTGGGTGGTTGGCAGTTCAAATGTTGCAGAATTGCTCCAATAGAACCACTGGGAAGAAAGCCCAGAAGATCATCTGGTCCAGGAGAGAAACTTGCCAGAGCCGCAAGTTAGGGATGAGGCTGGACCTAAAGCCCAGGTGCCCTGTGGACCAATTTGAGGCATCTCAAATTAGAGTCCTGTGTCCTCCAGCACCACCTGCCAATTCCTTAAGCTGCACAGAAACAGAGAGGAGGAACCCAGTAGTTCCTGAAATCATTTGATTATTAAATTGTTCATTTCCTGTTGTTAGAAATGTAGTCTCTTCGAAATGTTTTTGAATCAAGCGAAAACATCTTAATTGACTGAGCTGAGCTGCCTTTCAAACTCAGAATTCTGGGTCAGGGTGGGTTCTTTGCATTTCCTAGAAATCCTGCTCCTTTTTTGCATGTCCTTATAAACATGCAGTCAGCAACTGCCCACACTAACTAGCAGCTGCTACACACCAGGCACTTGACCAGGATCTCCTCTTCTTCAAATATCAGTACAAGGGTAGGCTTAATACTCCTGTCACTGGCAGGGAGCACACTGCTTTCCCAGGGGGCCACAGCCTGGGAGTGATCAGAGCCTGGACTTCTAACCAGGTGTGTCTGATGCTAAAGCCCCTGGCAACGTTTTTCTACTCCATCATGACTTGCCCTCCTCCAAACAACATGTCGGGTGGTATGATCGTGTAGAAGTCCTCAAATAAACTCTTGGGCCCCATTTGATGGAAAGATCTCAGTCTGCTGATATGTTTTCTCATTTTGAAAGAAATGAGGAAAATCCATCATCAACAAAAAGCCAGTGACCTTGAACTCAACCTGGTTGTGATATCCAGGCTGCTTCTCTGCCACTGTTTCCCTTTTTCCTCCTAGCAAATCATAAAGACCCCAAGGCTGTGCAGGCTCCCAGGCCCGGGGGAGGAGGCCTGGCCCCAGGTGACTACATCACACTTTGGATAGCTCACCCCTCCACACCCAAAAAGGGATTTGTGGTGGCTTTGTCTATGGAAAAAAAACCATGAAACTGAATGGTGGAACTAGAAAGGAAATCTAAGAGTTACATCAGGGTTGAAATTTTCAGGGATTTGAAGGGAACAAAATAGAAGGAGGTCAATGGAGGAGGGAAGCTCCACCCCTCCCCACTAACATTCGAGTAGTTCCACTTCTATGTATTTTGCATATTGAGATTCCCACTATGATTTTATTTGGAGAGGGGTGCCTGGGTGGCTCAGTGGGTTAAGCCTCTGCCTTCGGCTCAGGTCATGATCTCAGGGTCCTGGGATCGAGCCCCATATCGGGCTCTCTGCTCATCTGGGAGCCTGTTTCTCCCTCTTTCTCTGCCTGCCTCTCTGCCTACTTGTGATCTCTCTCTCTCTCTCTGTCAAATAAATACATAAAATCTTAAAAAAAAAAAAGATTTTATTTAGAGAAAACCTTCTCAGGCCCCCCCCCCAAAGAAAAAAGAACAATTAAAAATATAATAAAAACTGAAAGTTGGTAATTGAGAGAGAAGGGGAGGACTAACGTAAGCTGAGTGCTTACAAGGCCTGTGCTTGGTACTTTAAAAGTCCTAAGCTGCAAGATTATCATGTCTCCAACCTCCCATGTGTAATTCAAAATAAAAATCAGTATTAAGCTATAAAACACAAAAACTTACATGTTTGTTGCAATAAAAGTAACTTATTTCTCCATTTGTCTAATTTCAGAAGTCTAGATATGCTCATCCAAGCTGACTGTTCTTTTTTTAAAGATTTGCTGGGGCCCTAAGTGTGCTCATTCCATCTAGGCATTGATCCCGTGGGCCAGGCAGAAATTTTCTCCAGTCTCCACAGTAGTGCTGGGAAAAGAGGCACCGCCATTCTTTCACATAGTCGAGGAAACTGGGACTCAAGGGGGTTCAGTAACTGGCTGAATGTCACATGGCAAACAAGAAATGAGGGAGGTATAAGAACCAAGCTCTGTCTGCCTGACTCCAAATTCCAGGTTCTTTCTAGCACTCCTGGGTTCCTTCTAGCACTCTTGGCTTCAACCAAATTAAAGCAATATGGTCAAAATGAAGGTTTTAGAATCCGAAGACATGTGACCACACATAAGTGCCTGGCCTGCAGCAAGTACTCAGGAAATAGCCCCTTTCCATCTCCTTCCCATGGGTGCCAGGGCATCGAGTCCTGGCCTCAGCTGATGGAGCCTGGGGCCTGAACCAGGGTGAGGCTGCCATTTGTGTGAGCTGAGGCCTCTCCTGTCTGATCCCCGACTCTACTCTACAGGTTGACACATCTTCCTGAGCCAGGCCTTGCCAGAAGCACTGCATGCAAACTTGACTGCGCACTAGGGCGCGCTAACTGGAACCGGCGTCATGGACTTCGTCATGAAGCAGGCCCTTGGAGGTGAGGCCCCGAGCCCAGCACCCCTCACTCCCCGACCTGAGTTCCAACCCAGCTGGGAGGGGCCCGCAGAGCACTAGGCCCCTCCATCCCCAGCCCTGACCCCCCAACCCTACTTTCTCCCTCCCCAACCCATCCACTCTAGGGGCCACCAAGGATATGGGGAAGATGCTGGGAGGAGAGGAAGAGAAGGACCCAGACGCACAGAAGAAGGAGGAGGAGCGACAGGAGGCTCTGCGACAGCAGGAAGAGGAGCGTAAGGCCAAGCATGCGCGCATGGAGGCTGAGCGGGAGAAGGTCAGGCAGCAGATCCGAGACAAGGTCAGCACCTCCCAACTGCCTGGAGAGTAGAAGGCATGGAGGTCAAGCCACCCCCCTCCACCCCGCGCCTCCCCCATCCTCCCCCCCACTCCCCGCAAACCCGCAAACCACAGCTCCAACTTTAGACCTAGCTCTGAGAGCTGCTCTCCTAAGGGGGTAAAGTGAGTGTCACAGGCACAGCTCCCTGGAAGGAGTGTTATGGGGATTGAATAAGATAATGCCCATGAGACATGCTCCCTAATGTTTGCGGCTGTGGTCCACAATCTTGTACCTGAGACATTGGAGACCAAATGTTTGCAATCCAGAATTTGGGAATTTTAGGAAAACACCATAGTGCCTGAGGACCTGTTACCTTTGCACCTCACTCTCAATGGTTTGCAGCTGTCACCCTCGGGCAAACAGTTCAGTATATGTGTCTAGTCTCACCACTGCAAAAAATCAAGGCTGTAAGTAGCCTCCCATGAGCTCAGATCAAGTTTTGTCATCCAAACATAAGGAAGGACGTTCAGATGTCAAATCTTGGGGGATTTCAGAAGAGCAGAGAAGTTACTAGGGGCAGGTATTAATTTTAAAGGAAACCCCATGCACAGACGCTGATGGAGCACCTGTTAAGGACAGGCACAACCCCATAAGGGAGGCATCCTTATCCCTATTTTATAGATGAAAGGACTGAGGTTTGGGGAGTTTCCAGGAGCGGCCCAGCTGAGCCTGCATGACCTTGAGACCCACCCAGCTCTCTCCTTGCCCCATTCATGCTCATGTCTGCCCTCCTCCTCCCCAGTATGGGCTGAAGAAGAAGGAAGAGAAGGAGGCAGAGGAGAAGGCCGCCCTGGAGCAGCCCTGCGAGGGGAGCCTGACCCGGCCCAAGAAGGCTATCCCTGCAGGCTGCGGGGATGAAGAGGAGGAAGAGGAAGAGAGCATCCTGGACACGGTGCTCAAGTATCTCCCGGGGCCACTGCAGGACATGTTCAAGAAGTAACCGGCCCTCCTGCCCTGTTCCCACTCCACTTGTTCTTTTTTTTTTTTTTTTTTTTGGTTCTTTCTTTTCTTTTTATTCAGTTAAATCTCAGTTTTGAAGGGGAAAACCTCAGTTGACCTCTGCCCCCCTTCCCCAGCCAGGGACTCCTCCCTCTCAGCACTCCCTCACACCCCCTCCATCCTGGGGTATCCAGCCCCCACCTCACTTCAAGTTGCTTGAAAAAGGGAACACAGCTTCCCCCCCGCTCCTAGTAGGGGGCGTTGAACCCAGTGTCAGAGGTACTGAGGGCCCCTCCGGAAGGAAGCCTAAGGTCTATGCTAGTGTGGTAACCCCCATACATTCCTTCATGCACCCCACTGCCAGGAGGACCATTGTCCCAAGCCAGCCAAAGTAATAACACATTCCAACCCTGCCCAGCATGCCGACCTTTGGCCTCTGACCCACAGTGGGCCTCCAGGTCAGGGCAGGGGTGTTGAGTGGCCTGGCTCTGAGGAAGGGAGTCAGGGTAAGCCTGCCCTGTGAGGGCCCAGCCTGAGAGGCCCTGCTATATTCTGGCCAGGCCTAGGTCTTGGCAGAAGGCTGGGGCTCTCCTTCTCTCCTTCCCCTGAGATGACACCCAACCCAGGATCACTCCTCTCCCAACCCCACCCGAAGAGGCATAGCCCCTGCCAAGCCAGTCCCTCCAAATGGATCCTCTTTGGACTTTAACTCATCTATGGAGAGGACCCAGGGTAGAGCAGCCCCTTGTTTCCCCCTCTTCCACTTGGGTCCTGGGGCCCCACTGCCAGGCTGGGTCCAGTTTGCCCAGCCAAGGGGCTACCCAGGCCCCCCCAGAAAATACTTGGAGCCATTGGGCAGCGGTGGCCCATGCCATGGGACCCCACCATTGGTACAGCCAAGCTGCCCCCATTCCTATTCACCCCTCTTCCCCACCCTATCCTGTCCATGTGCTTCCAGGGCACCATGGTCCCCAGGAGGACCTTTGCTGGCCAAAGCCCCAAGGCTTTGGGGAGAAGCCAGTTCCCACTTGACAGAAGGCATCTGTCCATTCATCTCATTGGCCAAGAACAAATTCTCCTTTGGGATGTGTGAAAATGACATTTGTTCCCCCCCCACCCCAAACTGTCAAGGCCTCCTGCTCAGTCAGTTGTGTAAGAACTGGGGGGCCAAGGAGCAAATGAGAGAGGAAAGTGTGTGTCTATGCACACATGAGTGTGTGTGGCAGAGACTGCATCAGCAACTGTGTGTCCTAAGATTGTACCTATAGGTGTGTCGTTACAGTGTACATATGTCTTGAGATTGTGTGTGTATGTTAATCACATCCCTGTGTTAGATAAGGATCATGTGTGGGAGGCAGCCTTGTGTACATGGGCTTGTTTGAGGGGGTGTGTATGAATGGAGACTGTGTCGTGTCTGTTTTCTAGCCATCTTGTATGTGTGGTAGGGTTTGCACATGTCAGCTTGGAACGTGTGTCTGGGGAGAAGGGTATGTGTTAGATGTGGTGGAAGTATGTGTTTGAGAGAATGTCAGATGTGCTGATACTGTCGTGCGCACATGTGTGGCTCTGAATAGGCAGTTGGGTGCAGAATGCATGCTGGGGGAGAAAAAACATAGGTAAGATGCCCCCCTCTTGGCCCCAAAACCATTGGTCACAGGTGGCCACATCCAACAGGAGACCTTGTCCTTGGCCTAGAGTCCTCCCACCCTTGGGGGGCTCCTGCCTGAGGTCCTCAGAAGCCCACTGGGACTGACCCTGGCAGAGCCCCAAGAAGCCATGCTGGGCCCCCACCAGGGCCAACCCCAAAAGCAGGGCCCAGGGAAGAGGCGACTTGCCTGCCCCTGAAGCTCCTGCCCCATTGACCCCAGTTTGCATTCTGCAGGTTTTCCATGTTAGTGGATTTATGCTTTTATTTCAGAGAGAGACACGTGTCTTCTCTGTCCGTTTCCAATAGTTAAAGCCATATCAGTTAGACTGCAATACTTTAAAGACGAGACAAAACAATCCATATGTTTAGGGAACCAGAAAAATCCCCTGGTCTGTCCCTTCTCTGGGTAGCAGGGCTCCAGCAGCTCCAGCTCCCTGGATTTGCCCTTCTCCCCCGCCCCCGGCCCCTCCCCTGTGCCCCTGTGTCCTGCCCCCCATCCAGGGGGCCTGTGTCTGTGCCTGTGTCTGTGATGGGGAGCCACCTCGCACCCCTATTGTCTGCTTGTCTGTGTCTCTTTTCCTGGGCAGGATGGTCATTCTCTAGAGCCCTCGGGGTCCTGGGACAGAGATAGGCAGGGCCCAATCCAGGGGCCCCGGGCCTCCCCAGACCCTGTCTGTGAGCCCCACCTAGACACAGATGTGGATCCCAAGTGTTCAAAAACATCCCCTCCTTGACAGGGGCCCACAGATCTCAAAGGTAGTGCCAGGACACAGAGTGCCAGATGGGCAGCAGAGACCAAGGCTCAGGAAGCTTCAGGTAAGCAAAGGAACCCAGCCATGTCAGATATCCTGGGACCCTCAGAGGATGTCACTGGTGGTCTCCACAGCCCCTCTCTACCTCCAGAGCTGGCTCAGGGTTTTCTCCATATAAGAGTACCCTCCAGGGTGGCTGGATTAGTCTGAGGTATGGCCTAAACTCCTCCAGACTCCTCAGGCCTACTCCTGAGAAGCAGGACTAGAGGACTTCCTGGAGGTGATAGCAAGGGAGGAGTTCAGCATGGGGCACACCTGCCTCCAACCACTGCCAGGGAATCACTGTCAGATCCAGGGGGACATGATGACTATCATTCCTCATACAGACCTGACTGCGGGAAGAAGCTAACGTGTGACCCAGTGAAGATGTTGTGTGCAACACACACATGTGGAGGGAGAGGGGGAACAAGATATGTGTGGAGTGTGCTCTGGCAGGGAAGGGATGTTCACATGAGGTACCTGGGGTGGGAGGTGTGTGTGATCCACCAGATGGGAGGAGGATGGGTGTGCCACACATAAGTGGGACAGTGTGTCTGTAATACACTTAGGAGGCTGGGAGGGAGCCGCCCCAGAATTCAGTGCACACTTACAACATATCAGGGAGACACTCTCCAGCTAGGGAAGTAAGAAGGAGCAATCATTTGTATATGGTGAAAACAATGAGATACAAGGGAGTGGGCAGCACCTGCTGTGGGCATGCGTGGTTGCCAGGGAAGACCACGGCCAGACTTGCGTGCCTAGGAGCTCACCAGCAGAGATGAGGGAGAAGACTTCTCTGGATCACCCATGCTGGGTGCGGGCAGTGAGCCAGGACTTGCACACATGGGCAGCCTCAGCTCCTGGAAGGTATCTTTACCAGCAAAACCGTGTACGGTCCCCCCAAAGGCAAGCAGGAAGTCAACAGACCCTCTTAAGTAGGGGTATGTGTGTATGAGAGAGAGAGACAGAGAGGGAAGGAAGCAGCAGGGGAAGAGAGAGAGAGAGACAGGGAACAGAAGTATTTCAGCAACCCAGGTTGCTCTCAGGTGGGACAGCTGGTGGGCAAAGAAGCTGTCTTAAAGGCTCTGGCTAGAGGATATGGGCAGAACCCCAGCCCTGAGAGCCCCCAGCACCTAGCTGGCAGAGTTGCCTGCCCCACCACCCAGCTGCTCCAACCTAGGGTCCTGCATACCCTTGATGGGACAGGCAGCTGGGGATCAGATGGCTCAGGTGATGTATGTCTCCCAGGCCTGAGGACATACCTTCCCCACATGTCCCCTACTCCCCTCCCTGCTCCGGCTGCCCCACTTCTTCCTTGGGGAGAGATTGGGAGGTGTTTGTGCTGGTCCTGGGGTGGGGGTTCTAGCGAGACTCAGGTGAGGATGACCATCCTTCTCTCGCGGGGGAATCCCTTTCCCACATCTGTGCTGTGTCCTTGTTGCTCTGCTTTCTTTAAATGTGTCAGTGCCTGGGGGGAGGGGAGGGGCACCCCCTCATGCCCCCTGAATCTGACCAAAAGCCATGGCTGTTGCTCCCCCCTTTGTATGACGCAGATGCTAAGATGTACCAAACCAACCACGACAACAAAGAAAAGACCTGTACAGCAACTCTTGGTCTGTCTGTCTTCTTCTGTCTGTTGGCATCACCAGGGTGACACAGGGCACCAGCTGAGGTGAGAGGGAGCTGAGCCACAGTGCTCAAGAGGCCCCAGAAACCCTTCCATTTTACCCACACTGCTAGCCGGGACACTGGAAATGACCCCAGAAATCAACTGAGGCTGGAGTCAAGGCTGGCCCCAGAGATTCAGGGCCACTCACCTCCTGCCCTTCAAAGTCAGCTGTTCAACAAAGCCCTGGAGCTGGTGTCCCAGCCTGGTCACAGCACCCCACAGCCTTTCTCTGGCCATCCTTCTCTGAACGCTCCTCGGGAACTGGCATACCAACATGAAGCCAAGTCCCACAAATGGGCAAAGGTCTGTCACTGTTCATCCCACCAACACTGATGGAGTTCCTCATGTCTGCCACACCATGTGTGGGAGCTGGGGACATATAGTATTGCTCCTGGACACAGACACATCCCAGGCCTTGTTGAGTCAGCACAAGACCAGAACCCCTTTTCAGCCTTGGCTGCCTCCACTATTGTCTTGTCTTAAGGTAGACCTCATTTTTTCTCTACTTGGCTAGGCACCTCCCATTCCTCACACACTGGTCTCCCAGCTTCCACATCTTCCCTCTATCCATCTTCTCCCCACCACCCAACTCCACCTGGAAGACTCATCAAAACACAAACTTAACCATGTCATGCCCTTAGACAATACCCTTCAGTGGTCTGTAGGAAAGCACCCGCCTATAGGATAACAACAAAATCGTCAAAATGGCCCTGTATGACATGACCCCAACCTGCTAGGTCAGACCCAACCAACTCTGAGCCAAGCCCCCCTACCCTCAGACATACCCTGCCGTTCCGTGTTTATAGATTCTGCCCCCTCTGCCTGAAATGAACAGTACCCTCCTCCCCACCCAGTATACTTGAACTTCTCAAGATCCAGCTAAGATGTCATCTCCTGGGTGAAGCCCACCCTGACACAGCCCCCAGGCCCTTTCCCCCAGCAGTTGGTTGCTGTGTTCACAACACAGAGCATCACAGCTCTGTGCCCAGAGAGCACTGGGTTTGCTGGTAGGTTCTGTCATCCAGCAGAGTGATCTGGAACAAACCACTTAACCCCTCTGAGTGTTTGCTCACAAGTAAAATGGGATAATAATTGTTCTGACCTCCACAGTTGTGAGGAGTAAATGGGGTCACACACTCACACTCTCAGCACTGTGTGCCAAGCATTCAATGAATGGCACCTTGCAAATTCTACAGTAATGTATGTCGCTGCAGTGTCTCCCTCTGACTTGGGAGCTCTATAGGTGCTGTCCTGACTGGTGTCCCGATGCCTTCCAGCACCCACTGCAGAGTCTAGCCTCCAGGTCTAGTCTAGACCTAGTGGGTCCTCAGGAGCCCCAATGCTGACTCAGGGTCCAAGTGACCAATCTCTATCTCTTCTTGGTGGCCACAGTCACTTCTCCTTTTGCTCTCTGCACCCACTGGACGGTAGGGGGAGGGGAAGCAGCACCTGACTCCTCTCTCTGCTATGCCCTAACATCATGCATCCTGCCTTTCTCCCAGATCTGCCCATCACTCTGGGCTAGCACCCCCAGGGTAGTCTCCTAGACTCTTAGAGTCAGGGGAGCTCCGTGCACAACAGGACGCTGCATTAGTTATCCACCACTGCTTAACAAATTACACCAATTTGGTGCCTTAAAGCAACATGTTTATTATCTCAGTTTCTCACAGGAGGCCACGCACTACTGAGCTGGCCCCTCTGCTTCAGAGCCTCTCACCAAGCTGCAGTCAAGGTGCAGGCCAGGGTTGGAGTCTCAACAGACGGTAAGGACCACTTCCAAGCTTATGTGATTGTTGCCAAGATTTAAGTCCTGTTGAATTGAGGGCCTCAATCCCTGGCTGGCTATTGGCCAGAGGCTGCCCTTTGTTTGTCACTATGTGGGGCCCTCCGTTAGGGCAGCCCACAACAGGGGAGCTTTCTTCATCAAAGCATGCAAGCCAAGTAGGCAGAGAGCTGGTAAGACGGAAACCTCAGTGTTATGTAACCTGACTGGGGACGTGACGTTCTACCACCTCTGCCATATTCCATTGGTTAGAAGTCATAGGCCCTGCCATGCCTATAGGAAGAGGGTTACACAAGGATGTGAATAGCAGGGCAGGGATCACTGGGGGACATCGTAGGGTCTGCCCTCTCAGAGGCTAAAGCAACTCCCCCCCCTTCCCTACAAAGAAGCAGGAGTTGAGGGCCTCCAAAGAGCCAGAACCAAATCTCATCTACCGTAGGGTCCCAAGTGATGGAGGAAGAGTGTTCGAGCAGAGTAAGGGCCAACAGTGGGCTCTCCCCCAGGTTTCTGTGAGACTGAGACCATTCCCAGAACCAGGGGCTGGGCTCTGAGGGGCTTCCATGGCTGGAGATTGGAGAGAAATGGAACATGAGGGATTTGGGCTTCCCTGGAAGTCCATGTGTGTTCTTTCAGCACGCCAGGCACTGTCTTCCCAAGACCCAGGTCCCTGGCAAATAATCCAGCCCAGACACTCAGATGCTTCTCTGTCTGCCTTGCCCCTCCTTTCCACTCAGTGGCACCCCACAGTGCCCTGTTGCCTAGTTGGGAAATGCTAGCATCTTCTCACTTTCAGTCCTGAAGGTCTTCTCCTCACAGTCCTAATCCCCTCTTAAATAGCACTTATTGAGCTCCCACAACTTGCTAGGCACTGTACTAGGCACCAAGAACACCAATCACACAGCCCCTTCCGCCAGGAACCTACCTGCTAATGGAAGAAACAGGCCAATCAGCCACTATAACATGTGCAGTGATGCAGGTAAATTGGGGTGCTTGGGGAAGGCTCCCTGGAGAAGGCAACGTCTGAAATGTGTCTTAAATGAGAAGTCAACCTGGTGGGAAAGGAGGGCACTCTGAGCAGAGGGCCTGGCATAAGCAAAGGATAAAGGAGACAAAAGTAGTCCAACGT